ACTTTGGGAGGCCAAGGTGGGCAGATCACCTGAGGTTGGGAGTTCAAGACCAGTTTGACCAACATGGTGAAACCCCATCTCTACTAAAAACACAAAATTAGCCGGGCATGGTGGTGCATGCCTGTAATCCCAGCTACTTGGGAGGCTGAGGCAGGAGAATCGCTGGAACCCTGGAGGTGGAGGTTGCGGTAAGCCAATATGGCAAATTGCACTCCAGCCCTGCCAACAAGAGTGAGACTCCATCTCAAAAAAAAAAGGAAATGTTTTGTTTTTATATTATAAACCTAAAAATTTTAATCACTCAGGATGTTTTCAAATTTAACAATCTTGTGACAAACTATCCATAACATAAAATTTGCCAATCTAACCTTTTTTTTTTTTTTTTGAGAAGGAGTCTCGCTCTGTTGCCAGTCTGGAGTTCAGTGGAGTGATCTCCGCTCACTGCAACCTCCAACTCCTGGGTTCAAGCAATTCTCCTGCCTCAGCCTCCCAAGTAGCTGAGACCACAGGCGCATGACCACCATGCCCAGCTAATTTTTGTATTTTTAGTAGAGATGGGGTTTCACCATGTTGGCCAGGATGATCTCGATGTCTTGACCTTGTGATCCGCCCACCTCAGCCTCCTAAAGTGCTGGGATTATAGGCATGAGCCACCACGCCCAACCTGCCTCTTTAGCCTAGGCTGGAGTGGAGTGGTGCCATCTGGGCTCACTTCAGTCTCCACCTCCTTGGCTCAAGCCATCCTCCCACCTTAGCCTCCCGAGTAGCTGAGACTACAGGATCGCACCACCACGACCAGCCAGATTTTTACTGTAGAGACGGGGTTTCACTATATTCCCCAGACTGGTCTCAAACTTGCGAGCTGAATCCATCCACCCACCTCTGCCTTCCAAAGTACTCGGATTACAGGCGCTAGCCACCAGAACCAGCCCATTCTAACCATTTGGAAGTATACGGTTCAGTAGCAGTAAATACACTCACATTGTTATGCAACCATCACCACCATCCATCTCCAGAACTTTCTATGATCCCTAACTGAAACTCTGTAACCATTGAACAACTCCCCTTTTCTCCTTCCCCCAGCCCCTGGCAACCACCGTTCTATTCTACTTTTTGTCTCTGATTTTGCCTCCTCTAAGTCCCTTATACAAGGGGAATCATACAGTATTTGCTTTTTTGTTACTGGTTTATTCCAGGTAACCTAATATCTCAAGATTCATCTGTGTTGCAGCATGTGTCAGAATTTCCTACCTTTTTAAGGCAGAATACATCTGAGCACGGTGGCTCACGCCTGTAATCTCAGCACTTTGGGAGGCCAAGGCAAATGGATCACCTGAGGTCAGGAGTTCAAAACCAGCCTGGCCAACATGGCAAAACCCTGTCTCTACTAAAAATACAAAATTAGGGCCGTGCGTGGTGGTTCACGCCTGTAATCCCAGCATTTGGGAGGCCGAGGCAGGCGGATTATGAGGTCAGGAGTTCAAGATCAGCCTGACCAACATGGTGAAACCCCGTCTCTACTAAAAATACAAAAAGTATATAGCTGGGTGTGGTGGTGCACACCTGTAATCCCAGCTACTCTGGGGAGGCTGAGGCAGGAGAATCGCTTGAACCCAGGAGGCGGAGGTTGCGGTGAGCCGAGATCACGCCATTGCACTCCACCCTGGGCAACAAGAATGAAACCCTGTCTCTAAATAAATAAATAAATAAATAAATAAGCAAGCCGGGCATGATGGGGCACACCTGTAATCCCAGCTACTCGGGAGGCTGAGGCACAAGAATCACATGAACCTGGGAGGTAGAGGTTGCAGTGAGCTGACATCTCACCACTGCACTCCAGCCTGGGTGACAGAGAGAGACTCTGTGTGGAAAAAAAAAACTTCCTTCCTTAAGAAGATAGAATAATATTCCATCATATGGCCAGACCACATTTTGCTTATCCATTCATCTGTTGGCTATTTGGGTGTTTCCAACTTTTGGCTTAGTGAGTGCACTGCTAGCAACATGGGTATACAGCTCACCCAGGATATTTTAGAAGATTGTTAGCATTTATCTCCAAAAGTTTATATTTATTTAGATGACCTTGATATGGACAACATATTCAGCTGGAAGGTAGAATACATACACAGCTTCTAAATTTTTTTTTTTTTTTTTAAGACAAAGTCTTATTGCCCAGGCTGGAATGCAGTGAGTTGATCTCAGCTCACTGCAACCTTCACCTCCCAGGTTCAAGCGATTCTCCTGCCTCAGTCTCCCAAGTAGCTGAGACTACGGGTGTGTGCCACCACACCTGGCTCATTTTTGTATTTTCAGTAGAGACAGGTTTTCAACATGTTGGCCAGGCTGGTCTCGAACTCGCGACATGAAGTGATCTGTCCGCCTCAGCCTCCCAAAGTCCTGGGATTACAGGTGGCAGCCACCATGCCCGGCCTAAAAAATTTCATAACATCAAATTGGTAAAAATGTTCAAAACTTAATGCTCAGAATAACCAGATATGGTGAGTTTATCATTTATTGTACAAGCATTTTTTCTGTTTGTTTTTTGAGACGAAGCCTCACTGTGTCACCCAGGCTGGAGTACAGTGGCACGATATGGGCTCACTGCAACCTCCACCTCCTGGGTTCAAGTGACTCTCCTGCCTCAGTCTCCCGAGTAGCTGCAATTACTGGCGCCCACCACCATGCCAGGCTTTTTTTTTTTTTTTTTTTTTTGTATACTTAGTAGACAAGGGGTTTCACCATTTGGGCCAGGCTGGTCTTGAACTCCTGACCTTGTGATCCACCCAGCCTTGGCCTCCCAAAGTGCTGGGATTACAGGCGTGAGCCACCGTGCCCGGCCAAAGGTATTTGTTTTAATCATCTTAGGAGTTTTCTGTCATTCAGGCTCACTACAGCCCCAACCTCCCAGGCTCAAGCGATCTTCCCACCTGTGTCTGAATAGCTAGGACTAGAGGCTGACACCCACCATACTTGCCTAATTTTTATCCTATTTTTGATAGAGTTAGAGTCGCTCACTTTGTTGCTGAGGCTGGTCTCGAACTCCTGGCCTTAAGCAACCCTCCTGCCTCAGCCTCCCAAAGTGTTGGGATTATAGGCATCAGCTGCTGTGCCTGCAGTTTTGTTTTGTTTTTTGTTTGTCTGTTTTTGAGACAGTCTTCTCTGTCACCCAGGCTGGAGCACGATGGCATGATCTCGGCTCACTGACATCTCTGCCTCCTGTGTTCAAGCAATTATCCTGCCTCAGCCCCCTGAATAGCTGGGACTACAGGCATGTGCCACCACACACAGCTAATTTTTGTATTTTTAGTAGAGATGGGGTTTCACCATGTTGACCAGGCTGGTCTCGAACTCCTGACCTTGTGATCTGCCCACCTTGGCCTCCCAAAGTGCTGGGATTACAGGCATGAGCCACCGCACCCGCCCTACAATTTTTACATCTGTAATTTTTCAACATAGCAAATGGGAAAATACACTAAATAGATCAAATGGTAGATATAGCTCTTTTCAGCTGTGAGTGGGAGAAAAAGTTAAGACACCTAAGGGAGATGAATAAAAATGCTAGGGTGTCTGTCACTTTCACAGTGAGGAGGGCTGAGCAGTCTGTTGGAGAGAGTGGCTTTTCTTTTTTTTTTTTTTTTTTTTTGTGTGAGACAGAGTCTCGCTCTCTCACCTAGGCTGGAGTGCAGTGGCGCAATCTCGGCTGACTGCAACCTCTGCCGGCTGGGTTCAAATGGTTCTCCTGCCTCAGCCTCAGTAGCTGGGACTATAGGCATGCACCACCACACCCGGCTACTAATTTTTTTTGTATTATTAGTAGAGACGGGGGTTTCAGCATGTTGGCCAGGCTGGTCTTGAACTCTTGACCTCAGGTGATCCACCCTCCTCGGCCTCCCAAAGTGCTGGGATTACAGGTATGAGCCACCGCGCCTGGTAGAGAGTCTTTTCTAAACCATGACAATTCCCTGGTAATTTAGCTTCAATTACTGTCACCTGTTAGGATTACCGTGCGCACTGTTAACGTCAACTGAATCAAATCCTCTTTCCATGACTGCTGCCTAACAAGAATCCATCTCAGCTGGCCTGGTGGCTCACGCCTGTAATCACAGCCCTTTGGGAGGCCGAGGCAGGTGGATCACCTGAGGTCAGGAGTTTGAGAACAGCCTGGCTAACACGGTGAAACCCTATCTCTACTAAAAATACAAAAATAAGGCAGGTGTGGTGGTACACGCCTATAGTCCCAACTACTCCGGAGGCTGAGGCAGGAGAAACTCTTGAATCTGGGAGACGGAGGTTGCAGTGAGCCGAAATTGTGCCACTGCACTCCAGCCTGGGCGACAGAGCAAGACTCAATCTCATTTAAAAAATAAAATAAAATAAAATCGATCTCGCAAAATTGATCATCTCAAAAAGAAATTATTCTCATTTTACTTTAATGATTATCCAAGACCCCAGTATAAGAATTAACCCAGAAGATTTTGTTCACATTAATGGTCAGAGTATAACCCTTTAAATCTTTAAGAAACATGCTTCAGATTTCAAGTTTTGAGAGTTTTTCTTCTACTTGGTCTAGTCTATCATTGAAGCTTTTGAGTTTGCTTTGTATTTCTTCCAGTGATTTCTTCAGTTTCAGAAGTATCCTTAGGTTGCTTTTAGGAATATCACTGAAGTTGATCATTTTTTCCTGTAGAACGCTAACTACTTCCATCTCTTTTCTCTGTTCTTTTCCAAATGATGCTTGCATTATGCCCATCAACTGTATAATCTCTATGTTCAATTCTCTCTCCAAAATATCTTGTGTTTCTTTTGGATGGGGATCTGCTGCTGGAGAATTACTGGGTTCCTTTGGAGGCGGCCCATTTCCTTGCTTTTTCATGTTTCCTGTGTCCTTCCGTTGAGATCTGTGCATCCTGTGAAAGTGGCTTCTTCCAAGTTTGTGAACTCGCTTTGTAGGTGAGGACTTCTTTCTGAAAATGTAGATAGGGTGATGGTTAGGTGGGGCACTTTGGCTTTGATTTGGGGTAGTACTGTAGGCTCTGTATGATTTATTGGGTGGCTTAGGGTGTGGTTATCAGTGGAGGCTGTGGTTGCTGGGGATTAGGAGGCTAGGTGGGCCAGTCTTTGGGCCCCAGTGGTGTCCTGATCTTACCTATTCTTTAGCCCCAGTGTATGCTGGCTCTGTTATTAGCGGGTTGTGGGGAGTGACTCGTGTGCCTCTAGGTGTCCTGCTGTAATGCTGGTAGTGGCAGCCACTGGCTGGGGGTGTGGCTAATCCCAGGCGCCGGGGCAGTGGGTAGCTGCAGTTGGCGGCGGGGGTGGGGAGGGGGGACGGACGGCAACCCTCCGGGACCCAGGCGGTCCCTGCTGGTGTTGGAGGTGGCTGCCCAGGTTGGGAGGGCAGGCGAGTCCCCTGGCCTGCGGTGGTATCCGCAGGCTGGGCCCCTGACCTCAAAAACCGTCGAGGACGGGGAGGAGTGTTCAGCCGCCAACGGTGGCGGAAGAGGCCGAATAGTAACCAATCCCCAGACCCCTGGCCCCAGTGCTCAACTCCTCAGGAGGCGAAACTGCCAGCGGACTGTACCGAGGGCCCCAGGGTTCCGTGGCTAGCTAGGACGGACAGGGAAGGACTGGTCCCCAGGAAAGCTCAGGCGGGTCAGAGAAGGCAAGCGGTTGGCTCGCGTCTGGGTCCCGCGGCGGCGGTGGGGTTGTTTGTCCTTTCGGACGTATGAAAGCGTCCGGCCTCCCCGCTCCCTCCCTGGCCCTCCCTTGGCGGGGGCTGCAGCTGCAGCTGCTCAGGGCAGGGAAGCCCGTGGGCTCCACGTGGGCTCCTGCAACGCCGCTGGGGAATCTCTCGGCCGCTGCCCTCGATTCTGGAGGTCAGCGAGGGTCAGGGGGCTGTGGAACTCCGTGGGGGGACTGCGGAGCCTCGGGGTCTCTCACTCACCCTTTCCCCGCGCGCAGGAGCTACAGGCCGTCCCCGCCGATCCGATTTCTCCGAGCAGGCTGCCTAGGTGCCTTTGCTGCACTCCTCGGGCTCCCTGTGGCTTCTCGGCTGAATCCCGCGTTCTCTCAGCCGATCTGCTGCAAGTGCGAAAACCTACTGTCTCCTTCGGTTCCCGTCGGAGGAGAGGCGCGTGCCGGGTGCATCTACCAGGCCATCTTGAGTCTGTGGGAACGGGTCCTAATGGCGCCAGTTACTCAAGGGCGTTCCCTGGAGGGTCCGGGTCAGCCCCACCCCCTTCACTCTCGGGAAGGCCCCGCCCTCCCCTTCCAGACTGTCCGCAAGCTCCGTGTGCACACAGCTGTGTTTGCTAATAGAAATAGGACTATTCCGCCGGGCGCTTGAACCCGGGAGGCGGACGTTGTAGTGAGCCGAGATCGTGCCACTGCACTCCTACCTGGGCGACAAGAGCTAGACTCCATCTCAAAAAAGAAAAAATCATTTACGTTGATGTATGCGTTTTTATGGATGCTTTATTATTATTATTATCATCATTATTTTGAGATGGAGTCTAACTCTGTCTCCCAGTCTGCAGTGCAGTGGCTAGATCTCAACTCCTGCAAAGCAAAAACTCCCTCTCCAAAAAAAAGAAAGATGAATTAACATGCTAGGGTGTGCTTGGCACAGTGTGGTTCACCCCTGCAATCCCAGAACTTTCGGAGGCTGAGGCAGGCAGATCACTTTGAGTTCAGGAGTTCAAGACCAGACTAGGCAACATGGTGAAACCCCGTTTCTACAAAAAGGTACAAAAATTAGCCAGGAGGCTGGGCACGGTGGCTCAGCCCCTGTAATCCCAGCACTCTGGGAGGCCCAGGCGGGCAGATCACCCCAGGCCAGAAGTTCAAGACCAGCCTGACCAACATTGGGAAACCCCATGTCTACTAAAAATACAAAAATTAGCTGGGCGTGGTGGCGGGTGCCTGTAATCCCAGCTAATCGGGAGGCTGAGGCACGAACCTGGGAGTCAGAGGTTGCAGTGAGCCATGATCGCACCATTGCACTCCAGCCTGGGCAACAAGAGCGAAACTCCGACCAAAAAAAAAAAAAAAAAAAAAAAAAATTAGCCAGGGGTCATGGCTCATGCCTGTAGTCCCAGCTACTTGGGAGACTGAGATTGGATAATGGCATGAGCTTGGAAAATGGAGGCTGCAGTGAGATTGCACTACTGCACTCCAGCCTGGGATACAGAAAGCCCATGTCTGTAAATAAATAAATGCTACAGTGTTTGTCAGGTTTACAGTGAGGAGGGCTGACATGTAGCTGTGTGGGCAATCTGTTAGAGACAGGAGTGGCTTTTCTTGACCATGACAATGTCCTTCAGCTACATTCACCTGTTACGATTACTGTGCCAACTGAATTCGGTACTGATCAGATTCAGTAACTGAATCAGATCATCTTTACACAACTGCTGCATGATAACTCATCTTGCAAAATCGACTATCTCTAAAGGAAATTATTTTTATTTTGCTCTAACGATTACCCAAGACCCCAGAATAACAATTAACCCAGCAGGTTTCGTTCACATTAATGGCCAGTGTACAACCCATTTTCTTTAAAGTGAGAAAAGTGTTTCAGATTTTGTGTCCTGAGAGTTTTTCTTCTATTTGTTCTAGTCTATCATTGAAGCTTTTGACTGTACTTTGTATTTCATCCAATGATTTCTTCAGTTCCAGAAATACTCTTCTGTTGAATTTTAAAACCTCTTTCTGGCAGGTAATCATCTCATACGTCTCCCCAACTCTTTTCCTCATTTCTTTGTGTTCTCGTTCAAAAGACTCTTCCATGTTGATGACCTTCTTTACAATCAGTCGGGTCAATTCTCTGCTCAATTCTCTGTTTGAGCTTTCCTGAATTTCTTTTGGATGGGGATCTGTTGCTGGAGAATTACTGGGTTCTTCTGTAGGCATCACATTTCCTTGCTTTTTCATGCTTCCCGGGTCCTTCCATTGAGATCTGGGCATCTTGTGGAATAGTCACTTCTTCCAAGTTTGTGAATTCACTTTGTAGGGCAGGACTTCTTCCTGAAGATGTAGATATGATGTGGTTAAGTAGGGGACCTTGGCTTTGGTTTGGGGTAGAAGTGTAGGCTCTGTACATTACTTGAGTGACTTAGTGTGTGGTTATTAGTGGAGGCTGTGCTTGCCTGTTCTTGAGCCCCAGAGCAGTGTATGCTGGCCCTGGCGTTAGTGGGTTCAGGGGAGCAATTCGTGGGCCTTTTCCTGGGCCTCTAGGTGACCTGCTGGAATGCTGGTAGTGACAGTCCCTGGCTGGGTGTGTGGCTGATCTCAGGCCCTGGGGCAGCAGGAGTGATGGGCGGGAGGGGCAAGCGAGTCCCCTGGCCTGCGTGGTGGTATCGGCAGGCTGTGTCCCAGACCTCAGACCCCGGGGAGGAGTGTTCAGCTGCCAGCGGTGACGGACAAAGCCCGCAGCCACCAGTCCCGAGGACCCTGGCCCGTGTGCTCCAGTCCTCGGGGGACGGAAATGCCAGCGGACTGTCCTCAGGCCCCCAGGGTTTGGGCTCTGGCTGTGACAGACAGGGAAGGGCTGGTCCCCAGGCTGCGGGCGGAAAGCTGAGGCAGGGCAGGGCGGGCGCGCAGTTGGCTCGCGTCTGGGTCCCGCGTCAGCGGCCGGGTTATTTGTCCTTTGGGACTCCTGAGACCGCCCGGCCTCCTCTCTCCCTCCCTGGTCCTCAGCTGGCTGCGGCGGTTACAGCAGGCAAGGCAGAAGCTGCCCTCGGTGCTGGACTTTTGGGGTGGCGGGGGCTGCAGCTAAAGCTGCTCAGGGCAGGGAAGCCCGTGGGCTCCACGTGGGCTCCTGCAACGCGACTGGGAAATCTCTCGGCCGCTGCCCCCGATTCTGGAGGCCTGCGAGGGTCGGGGGCTGTGGAAGTCCGTAGGGAGACTGCGGAGCCCCGGGGTCTCTCACTCACCCTTTCCCCGCGCGCGGGAGCTACATACAGGCCGTCCCCGCCTATCCGATTTCTCCGCGCAGGCTACCTGGGTGCCTCTGCTCCGCTCCTCGGGCTCTCAGTGGCTGAATCCCGCGTTCTCTCAGCCGACCTGCTGCAAGTGTGAAAACCTACCAGCTCCTTCGGTTCCCTTCGGAGGAGAGGCGCGTGCCGGGTACATCTACCCGGCAATTTTGAGCCAGTGGTCCTAGGTGGGAACGGGTCCCACGTGCGTGGGTTACTCAAGGGCGTTCCCTGGAGGGTCCGGATCTGCCCCGCCCCCTTCACTCCCGGGAAGGCCCCGCCCTCCCCTTCCAGACTGGACCGAAAGCTCCGTGTGCACACAGGTGTGTTAGCTCATAGAAATGGGAGCAGACTATTTACACTTTTCCACAAAAGTGTGCGTTTTTCACTTTTTATGCTGGGGATTTGTGTCAGTACTAGCAGAGCCGCGTTGTTCTTTTCTTTTTTTCTTTTTTTTGGGGAGGGGACAGAGTCTAGCCCTGTCGTCCCAGGCTGGAGTGCAGTCCTGTGATCTCGGCTCACCACAACCTCCGCCTCCTGGGTTCAAGCGATTCTCCTGCCTCAGCCTCCTGAATGGTTGGGAATACAGGCGCACGCCACCAGGCCTGGCTAATTTTTTTGTATAATATTTCTAGTAGAGATGGGGTTTCACCATGTTGGCCAGGCTGGTCTTGAACTCCTGATCTCAAGTGAACCGCCCGCCTTGGCCTCCCAAAGTGCTGGGATTACAGGCATGAGCCACTGTGCCCAGCAGCAGAACCATTTTCTATTCCATGCTGAACAAACCAGTTTTTGCCACACGTGTTGAGATGAAACAACTGTCTTTCTATGAGAGATGTCACAGGAGCTCATGAAACAGCCCAATCACAGGAACTCTGTAGTTCAGCATGGCTCAAGTGAGTGTGTGTATGTGAGAGGGACTGTGAATATAGGAGGGTGAATGTGTACATATATGTTTGTATATTTGAGCATGTGGGAGAAGATAAGGGACCAGATGGTGAAGGGCACCTCAGGCTAGGCAAGGAGTTTGGCGTATCTTACAGGCATTAATGTGCCACTGACAGATTTTTTCACTGACAATTAATGTGGCCAGATTTTTATTTTATTTTATTATTTTATTTTATTTTAGACAGAGTTTCACTCTTGTTGCCCAGCCTGGAGTGCCATGGAGCGATCTTGGCTCACCACAACCTCTGCCTCCTGGGTTCAAGGGATTCTCCTGCCTCAGCCTCCCAAGTAGCTGGGATTACAGGCATGTGCCACCACGCCCAGCTAATTTTGTATTTTTAGTAGAGACAGGTTTTCTCCACGTTGGTCAGGTTGGTCTCGAATTCCCAACCTTAGGTGATCTGCCTGCCTCGGCCTCCCAAAGTGCTGGGATTACAGACATGAGCCACCGCCCCCAGACTTATATTATTTTATTTTTTGAGACAGAGTCTTGCTCTGTTGCCCAGGCTATCATGCAATGGTGTGATCCCAGCTCATTGCAACCTCCACCCCACGGGCTCCCAAGCAGTTATCATCCCTCAACCTCTTGAGTAGCTGGGATTACATGTGCCCGCCATGTGCACGCCTGGCTAATTTTTGTATTTTGGGGGGTTTCGCCATGTTGGTCAGGCTGGTCTCGAACTCCTGAC